ATCCAATAGATGCTCCTCATCATGACACAGCTGAAATATAATCACACTTTGAAAAGAGCAACACCGATTGAACTCGTTATATTTCGTTTTTTTATTATTATTATTGCTTGAAAAGGTAGCGGTGTATGAGTATGGAAATATGTGTCCCATGGTTAATTTATTTGTTTCTGTGCCAAAGGATATTGAACGCATTGACAAATTGTATTCTCAGTTCAATGTGTGTGTGTGTTTATATATATATGTGTGTTTGTGTGTGTGTGAGTGAGTGGGTGAGTGTGTGTGGTTTATATATATATATATATATATATATATATATATATATATATATATATATATATATATATATATATATATATATATATATATATATATATATATATATATATATATATATATATATAATATATATATATATATATATATATATATATATATATATATATATATATATATATATATATATATATATATATATATATATATATATATAATATATATATATATATATGTGTGTGTGTGTGTGTGTGTGTGTGTGTGTGGTGTGTGTGTGTGTGTGTGTGTGTGTGTGTGTGTGTGTGTGTGTGTGTGTGTGTGTGTGTGTGTGTGTGTGTGTGTGAGTGAGTGAGTGAGTGAGTGATGTGTGTGTGTGTGTGTGTGTGTTTATATTTATGTGTGTGTGTGTGAGTGAGTGTGTGTTGTTTGTTTGTTTATATATATATATTATATATATATGCATGTATGTGTGTGAGTGAGTGCGAATATGTGTGTGTGGTTGTGTGAGTGTGTGGGTGTGTGTGTATATATGTGTGTGTTTGTGTGATGTAAGGGATAAACCATTTGCTAAATGCTGCATTTCCAGTAGTCAGATTGAGCTATTGCACAGTACGAGCTTTTGAAATATCATTAACATTGCAAAATAAGGAGAGGAAGATTCCCAAATATTATCCATTATGAATAGATAAAAGGTACACGTATTTTTACAGTGCTGATTGTCTGTATCCACTAGTTAAGACATAATAAACGCGTCCATAATATTCCCGACATAAACTGAGCACAGTGCCAAGGTTAATACACTTTATCCAGAAAATCATATACCCTTTACACGAGCGAAAACGATTCACAAATCCCCATTTTCCAGGTAATGTTTTGACTGCCAGGCTTCAAAGGAAAGTTATGCTTGTGCTGAGCATATAAAAATATTTATATTTTATATATCTCCCTTTATGTATGTATTTATGTATTTAACTATCTCTCAGGCTTTCCGTGTATTTAAATGTCTGTCTGTGTTTTATCTAAATCTAATCTACCAGTATGTCTATCTATCCATCCATCCGTGTTGTTCCCCAGTTATCCATCTCTCTGATTCTATCTAGCGATGAAGAGCGAGGCTCTCCCTGTTTGTCTTCCATCTCTCTCTCTCTCTCTCTCTCTCTCTCTCTCTCTCTCTCTCTCTCTCTCTCTCTCTCTCTCTCTCTCTCTCTCTCTCTCTCTCTCTCTCTCTCTCTCTGTCTATCTGTTTGCTTTCTGTGACTGTCTGCTTGCTGTCTTGTCTATCTATTAGCTCTCCTTGTCTGTCCATTGGCACTCACTGTCTGCCAATGGGTTCTACCTGTCTCTCAATTTGCCTCCTCTGTCTATTAATGGGCTCTCCTTATATTTGATTATGTTCTCTCTGCCTATCTATTTGCTCTCCACACTTATCTGGTGGCTCTCCCAGTCTGTTTGCTGGACCTTCCGTCCACCTTTTGATACTCCTGTCTATCTGTTGATAATCCCTGTCTGTCTATTTGATTTCCCTGTCAATCCATTGGTTCTACCTGTATTTCCATGAGCTCGCCCTCTCTGTCTGTTTGCTCTCCCTGTCTGTGTTTTCTGCCCCTGTCTATCTGTACATTCAGAGGGGAGAGAGGAAATCCTAAGATCCTCTCGTCGTTTCCCTGCAAATGACATATGAAAGCCCGTGATCCCCAAGCTTTGGATGTGCTTGGGAATGAACTATGTAAAGTACCTCATTATTTCAAGATTTCAGTTTTATCTCGCGGGAGAAAAAGGGAAGATCGGCGCTAATGATAATGGTGATGATGATGGCCCTCGAGTCTCATAATCATTAAAAGGTGGAATCCTCAACATGCATGTTTAGAAAAGAACAAGGACTTTTCGATTGTAGGTTTTCTGCATGAAGTTCTGAATGATTATTTGGATGGGTCGTCAGGTGGAAATGCTTGCGAAATCCACTTTACTCATGTGCTGGCAACAAACTACAAGTTGTTTTTTGTACGCAAGTACATACACGCACGAACGACTACCATGCATGCGAGCGACTACCCATCTTTCACTCCCACATACATGTGTACGCGCGTGTGTGTGTGTGTGTGTGTGTGTGTGTGTGTGTGTGTGTGTGTGTGTGTGTGTGTGTGTGTGTGTGTGTGTGTGTGTGTGTGTGTGTGTGTGTGTGTGTGTGTGTGTGTGTGTGTGTGTGTGGTGTGTGTGTGTGTGTGTT